CCTCCCCCCAAGACAGGAAAGAAAGAATCAATATTTTCTCAACTGTAAATGCAAAGACAGAATGAAGCAATTCCCCAAACTCAACATCCCTCACTTTTAAGATTTACTTCAGGTCCTCCTAGAAACTAACTCGAAATTGAAAATGACTGTCCCAGCCCTGTGTCCTCAGTAACCAAGCCAGGGCAGCTACTGGATCTGCTAATCTCCACACTGTTTCCCTGCATGTGCAAAGGATGAGGCAGTGCGAGTGTGGAATACTGTTAGCAAGGAGAGAGGGCAAAGCTGCAAGTTTCTGTTGTTTACAATATCCCTGGGTTAATTCCAGTGGTATGGATATCTCACTTATGTACCCTGCACACGAAGCTATGTGTATATAATATGCACACAGGCACACACACACATATACACACTCCTCTGTAATCCATCTGGGCATTTGAGAAGTTCTAGAAATATTAAAAAGCTGTTATAAAAATGCAATCAATACAAAGATGTTTAAGAGAAAGTATCTTCCAATCAGAAGTTAGGAAACTTTAATGTTTCCAGATAAATGTTACATGTATGAGCATATTTTTATTTTTCACAAATAATTTTTATTTTACTTTATATGTTATATGATGTTTATTTTATGCTTTTTGTTCTGGTTTTATATATTTTATATTTTACCTTTCACAGAAAATGGTTCCATACCATAAATATTGCTTATGCCAGCTTTTTGCCTTAATGTCCTTTTTAAAAAAGGTTTATTTATTTTTAGTTGAAAGACAGAAATGCAGAGAGAGGAGAGACAGCGAGAGGTCGTCTACCCTCCGGCTCACTCCCCAAATGGGCACCAGAGCCAGAGACGGGTTGAGACAAAGCCAGAGGCTTTTTCTCGGTCTCCCACATGCGGTCAGGGACTCAAGCACATTGACTGTCTTCTGCTGCTTTCCCATGCCATTAGCAGGGCGTTGGATCAGAAGCAGAGCAGCCAGATGCTCATATGGATTGCCAATGCCACAGGTGCTACACTGCATCACTGGCCCCTGTGTCTTACAGACAACGTTTCCTGTGAATACATATTAAGCCACCTGCGCTGTCTTAATGACTGCAATCTGTGTTATTCCTGGATATACTAAAGAGGGTTCAATAGAAATCATTCATTTGGTTTGTTCACCTCTTTATAAAAGCTAATTATAACACTGCAAACGATTATTCTGATGAAAAATAAGATTTTTGGTCATAAATCTTACTATTTCCCAAGATTTATTATAGACAGGAATTGTGCAATCATGGACTACACATGTTAAACCCACAGTGTATAAAAATATAAAATACTCACACACATGTGTTGCATATTCAGCAGTTTTCTCCAAATGTTTAGCCACCTATAACACCACTTACCTACCCACACATTATTTTCTCACTCTACTGATTTAGACATTTCATACTTCTCATGTAGTGCAATAAACTATGCTCAAAGCTTTTAAAAGACAGTCGAGGAATGGCTGTTTGGTGCAGCAGTTTAGACATTGCTTGGGACACCTATATCCCATATAGCAGGGCCTGGGTTTGTGCTTTTGCTTCTCTTTCAACCTAGATCCCTGCTAATAAGCACCCTGGGGTCCCTGCCGCCCATGTGGGAGACCAAGTTGGAGTTCTAGGTTCCTGGCTTTGGCCTGGCTCAGCCCTGGCTATTGTGAGCACTTGGAACCAACAGATAATGTGGAGGTTCTCTTTAGGTTTTTAGCTTTCTCTCCTCTCTCTCTCTCTGTCTCGCCTCTCCCTATCCAATAAATAAGAAATCAAAACAAAGAAACAAAATGTGAAAGAATGGAGTGTTTGAAGGAAAAACCGGAGGCAGGCAAGGATTCTGGAGACGTGGATTACTGATGATAAAGAGATGGGAAGCAGGAATGGGTGAGAGTGTGTCACAAAAGCCTGTGTGCTGTTTGGAAACAACTGAGCTGAGGAATGCCAAGGGCCAGGTAAAGCAAGGCCATTAACCCAAGATGAGGTGGTTTGGGGGAGAGAAATGAACCTGGGTGATGGCTCACGCAGGCCATGGCTTCCTCACGCACGCATTCCTTGTTTCCTTGGTCACCAGTGAAACTACAAAAAACCTTAGATAAAAAGGAGGAAAACAAAGACCAAGCCATCAAGAAAGAATAATGAGGGTGGACTGCCAACACGGCGGTTAGACCACACTTGGGAAGCCTCATCCCATGTCAGAGAGCTTGGGTTCAAGTCCCAACTTCCGTCCTGATTCCAATTTCTGGCCCATGTTCCTGGGGGGTGGCCGGTGATCGCTGAGATAGTGGGCTCCCATCACCCGTGTGTGAGGCCCAGATGGAATTCTGTGCTCTGGATTCTGGCCTGGCCCAGCCCTGGATGGTGCAGTACGTTTGGGGGTGTGAACCTGTGGACAGATGATCTCTCTCATTCCTTTTCAAATTAATAGAAATACGTTAGTAAAAATTCTTTTTGGGCCCGGCGCGGTGGCGCAAGTGGTTGAGGGTCCTCGCCTTGCACGCCCGGGATCCCATATGGCCGCCGGTTCTATCCCAGCAGCCCCGCTTCCCTTCCAGCTCCCTGCCTGTGGTCCGGGAGAGCAGTCGAGGATGGCCCAAAGCTTTGGGACCCTGCACCCGTGTGGGAGGCTCCTGGCTTCGGACTGGCATAGCATCGGCCCTTGCGCTCGTTTGGGGAGTGAATCATCGGACGGAAGATCTTCCTCTCTGTCTCTCCTCTCTGTATATCCGCCTTTCCAATAAAAAAAAATAATAAAAATAAATCTTTAAAAAAAATTCTTTTTTAAAAAAGCAAGAATAGCTGCCCATGTGTCTGGGTAATCCTAACTATACTTCTTTTAACGAAACATCTGACTTCTCAATACAGTTTGTATTTCAGGAAAAGCATTGGAAAAATAAAATCTCAGAGAAGGGAAGGGCTTTCCAGGTATGACACAAAATATTTAATTCATAAGATATAACATATTGATCCCTTTGATAAGCTAAAAATAAAAACGTGCATGGAAAAAGCTATCATAAGAAAAGTTGGAAGAAAATGACCCAGAGGCCATAGTCACTAAGCAGTGTGAAAGCTCTTTGTGTCGTCAGACTGGACATCTTAAAATGCTCAAAATGGGGGCCCAGCACGGTAGTGTCCTTGTTCAAGTCCTTGCCTTGAATGCGCTGGCATCCCGTATGGGCGCCGGTTCTAATCCCAGCAGCTCCACTTCTCATCCGGCTCCCTGCACGTTTTTATCTATTTCACTTTCTTTACTTCTTCAGAAATGTATCCTGATATAGAAATGTGAGATAAAGAGCCCACTTTAAGACAAATCCACATTTATGGGGGGAAAAAGGAAAGCAAAGGGGTGTGGAAGACTAATTTTATCATACATGGAAACAAATTCAATATTCACAGTGTTTAAAATAATATATAGTCCTGAATAAAAGACTGCCAATGAAGCTGTTAAATACATCTTGACGATAGGATTCTGGACTTCACCATCGTCTACTCCTACAATGTCATGATGCATTTAAATAGAATGTTGGACTTGTGATGTTGAAGGATTATACTGTTGTAATAATACAGGGGAAACAGTGGGGGAGGGGAATGGGGAAGAGGGAGGGGAAATCCTGAGTCTATGGAACTGCATCTTGAAATACATACATATACATATATGTATATATAATCTATATATGTATATAATCCCAAAGTAACTAAGTAATAATAACAATAACAACAATGATATGATCCTGGGTGCCTGCTTGGTAGAGCAATGAAATTAAATAACATGACCAGAACCCACTGGAGGGGCAGGCACCTGGCCTACACGAAAGCATTGGCCTAGGGCTTGTCTCCCACGGAGTGCTCCAGTTTCTGACTCCAGTTCCCTGCCCATGCATACCCTTGGGACACTGAGGCTCAAGTAACTAGGTCCCTGCCATTCACAGGCTGACTTTCTGGCTCCTGTCACGGCAGGTGTCTGAGGAGTGAATCAGCAAACGAGGAGTATGTCTCTCCCCCTGCCCAAATGCCTCTCAAATTAATCAGTCATCACCCCCCTCATTCTCAGGATGTGGTGTAAAGGTATAGATTCATTAGGAAGGACTTCCAGTTTCAACCTGGTGAGCACTCCTCCATGGGGCACCGTTCCCTTTGTCCAAGCCACCTGTCAGACTGTTTCCATTGAGACCGCTGTGTCTTCCCACCACTCTTCTGTCCCCTGAGGACTGGTAGTGAAAAGTTACTTGTGGAGGTTTTTCTTTTTTGGAGTCTGTTTCTGTCATTCCTCATCTATGGGACTTCTTCATCTATCTCCATCGTGCAGAAAGCCGTGGTGACCCCATCTGATCTCCTTATAGACACACAATCATGTGTCACTTCATGGTGGCTATGTGCTAGGCAGCGCAACATGAGAGGATCCCATTGCTGAGTGCACACCATGACATGTACTTAGACAGCCCACCACATAGCTGGGCTGTATGTGGGAACTTCAAAGTTCATGGGGGCACTGGTGTTACGACATAGCAAGTTGACCATTTGTGACACCTGTACCACACCAGCTACTCTGCTCCGAATCCAGCTCCCTGTTGATGCTCCAGGTTATGACCCAAGTGCTTGGTCCCCTGCCACTCACATGGGAGATCCAGATGGAGTTCCAAGCTCCTAGCTGCAGCCTGGACCAGTGCAGGCTATTGTGACTATCCGGGGGAGTGAACAGCAAACAGAATTCCCTCTGTCGCTTTCCTCTTTCCTCTCCCTATCCCTCTTTCAAATAAATAAACAAATAAATAAATATATATATATCTGAAAAGACAAAAAATGGAAAATAGAATTAAAAGACACAAGTTTATTTTAATGCAAGATAAATGAATACGAGAGACCTTCAAAACCTTAAAGGGAAAAGTGTATAGTAAAGTTTTTCAAATTTTCCAGAAGTTTTAGCACCAACAGGAAGCTTATCTGAAGTACCCACCTATGGAACACACAGCCTCCCCCTCCAGGCCACACACCATGTTACTGTTACCGCACGCAGTGAGTCTGTATCCAATCACAGGAAAGGTGCAGAACCGTGGTGTAAAAGATGGGAGAATGTGCCCCCGGGTGGGTACTGCCCATGAATCCAGCAAGCTGTAGGACTGAAAGCTGTGCAGGGAGAGTCAGTGAGTGAGAGAATGACTCTCCTGTCTGCCTCCAGAGACTTACACTCTACACTCAGGCTATGCTAGATTCGTTCTATAAATTTTTTTCTTTCTTCAACATTCACCTGATCTTACTGTCACTTTCTTACCTTATAAACATTTGACTTTCTTTTCAAAACATGGTGATTTTTGTTATAACGATTAGCTTAAAACAAATGCATTGCAACAGCTTTACAAAAACTAAGAGAAAAACCACAATAGCCTACACCCATATGGGGTGCGGCTCATCTGTGTCCCTGTCTTCACACCTTGTCCTCCTGGAAGGTCTTGGGGCAATAATGAGCAGGCAGTGGTCACCTCTGATGAGAACAAAAGGTGTGCCCTGGACTGTCTACCAAAGGGCCTCCCTGAGGGTATTCCACACTTCACTTAAAAAAAAAAAAGGAGTAAACTCTAAAACACTGATTAAAATACATGTGTGTACCTAGCTAGGTGCGTGGCAAGGCAGTTGTCTGCATTCCACACTGCAGTTCTAGGTTAGCTACCCATCACTGCTCCTAACACCAGCTTTCTGCTCACGTGGACCCTGGGAGGCAGCAGGGCAGGGCTCGTGTTGTTCCTGCCATCAACGGACAAGACCTGGACTCAGTTGCCAGGCCTCAGCTTTGGCATCTTAAATTTTCTGACTCTGCCTGTCACACAGACAAAAATTTTCTCTAAATATATAACAAATACTAAGTCTGTAACTAGTCGTTCATTATCAAAGCCTATGCACTGGACCAAAACTGTATGGGATGTACACCTGTCAATGCTACAGGTCTGTTTACATCAGCATCACTGAGCCACATGATGATAATAGGAACTTTTCAGTTGCACTAAAATCTTATGGAACCACACATTGGCCAAAAAGGCCTTAAGTAGCACTTTTTTTAATAACCGCGTTACATTCCCAACATTTGGACTCTAACCCTAGGTGTTCAAGACCAGATATTGGCAGGATTCTATTCAACAATTCTAGAAGCTGACTTTGGGGCCTTACTTCAATTTGGACATGGAGGTGCCAGCATTGTTAGTCGCCATTCTTCAAGAAGGGGCCTCCAGTCCATGACAGGAGTTCATCTAGAGCATCAATTTTCCAGCAGATCGTTCGAGGTAGCTGTGAGTCAAATGGACCAGTGACCATACTGAAGACTGCAAAAGGGAGCAGATAAAATTCATTTAACAATGTTTTATTCAACCCAACATCTCAGAAATATTGTGACATAATAAACATGGAAATTACAAATGAGATATTTAACATTTTTCTTTCACACTCTCCTGCTGAGCGTGTTACACCTAACAGCACACTGCAGTCTAGACCGGCCACATTTGAGTGCTTGGCTAACTGTCCCCCCTGCGCACACACACACACACACACACTCAGGGTAACTGGCTACTGGACAGCACAGCTGGCTGAAAACCAAGGAGAATAGCCTAATTTAGTGGAAATATAGACGTGTAAAGGCTGGAACTACAGCGTCTAGAACAGACTTTGAAAGTTATTGGTCCAAATCCTGCTTTGATGCTTGAACCTTTTGGACCATGTTCCCATAGCAAGGCCTGTGTGTTTCCTCGGGGTCCGCCCTGCTTAGGTGGGTCCCGGGGAGGTACAGGGTGACTAGTGACCCATCCTGATGCGGGCTTGCTAAGGATGCAAAGCAGGTTGATTTGCCCGAGGTTGGTGGCACTTAGTTGGTTTGAATGGTTTTGTTAGGCTAAGAATTGCAGGAGTTCGCTGACAAACATCAGCCCTGGGTTAGGAACTGTTGAAGGCCAGGGCTAGCTATTGTGTTAAAAATCCTCTGCAGTATAGCAGCTAACAGAGATGTGTAAACGCTCATGTGGACACAGCGTGATTTGGAGATTAAACGGAATTCTTAGAAGCTTTGAGAAGGGTTCACAGTAAAACACAATTGGGTTCTAAATTAAAAGTGACAGCTTCTCTATCCCGGCTGTATTCCTACTAACCTTAACCCTCAACCTTAACGCACTTGCTCGAACCCAGAAATCAAGGGCACATCAAGTCACTATCTCGATTTGGTTTACAGATACAAGCTCATCCCAAAACACTTCCAAATCACCGACCCCAAACGGTTTTTTTTTTTTTTTTCTTTCCCTCAGTAAAAAGGACACCAACTGCTTGAACGCCGACGGGACTTGGAGCGGCACTGGAAAGAATACGTTTTTGCTCGATGTATTTCCACCTCCACTCTGACTCGATCACCCGAAGGTGTTCTTTCTCCTTCACCCGCCAGGTCACCCCTCTGCCCTCCCCGCTTCTACCTGTCCAAGACTGGGGAACGGTGCATCCTCACCAGGATCCTGCTGTCCCTGGCCAACAGCCGGTGGAAGGGTGCACCCCGGGCATCCGTGCCCGCTGAGGCTACACCTCGAAGCCGCTTGCGTGCTCCACCGCCCCCGCACACCGTGCGCCACGCTCCGGGAGCGAACCCGGCCACCGGCCGCTCCGCCCGCCCCCTCCCTCCCGCCTGCACACAGCCAGCTAAAACACCCCACCTCGCGCCGCCGAAGGAAGTTGCGAATCACACCATCTACGATACTGTATTTTTCAGAAAAAAAAAAAAAAACAAGCTTTGCAAAAAAAAAAAAAAAATTCAAACTGCACACGCGGGCCAATGGCGAAGGAGCGGCGGCTGGGCGGGGGCAGCGCGGCGGGCAGGGTGGGCGGGGCGCGGCGGGCGCGGGGCTGGTACCGCGCGGGATTCGTACGACGCGGCGGGCTCACGGTTTGGGGCTTTTTTTTTTTTTTCTCCCCCTGCAAAATCAGCTCGAGCGCGAGACTCCGCCTGCAGCCGCAGCCTCTCGGATCCACCTTAAATCTTCAGTGGACTCCGCGCAGGGGTCAGTGGGCGCAGCCAATGCCAATCAAGTTTACAACCACCAGCACGGGAGGAGGAAAAAAAGAGAGAGGGAGAGAGAGAGAGAGAAAGAGAGAGAGAGAGGAAAAAAAAATAATCTTCAAGTTCTCTGCTGCACACACGCACACATGCACACACGCGCGCGCGCGCGCGCACGCACCAGAAGGGGGGGCAGAAAGAGAGAGAGAGGAAGAAGGGAGGGAGGAAGGGAGGGAAGGGAGGCGGGCCTGCGCTCCCGGGAGGGGCCGATGTTTGCCAAGTGCTTGGTGCGAGCTCGGTGGCTGCGGCCCGGACGCCCCGGGACTGAGCGCGGGAGGCGCGGCCCGGCCGGGCCCGAGCGCCATGATGGTAGCCGCTCGGCGGAGTCCGGCCCGGGGCTGGGCCAAGGGTGGGGAATGGCGGAGGAGAGAGGGGGGGCGCGCCGCAGTGATGCAATCCCGGGCCTCCGCGTCCCTTGTGCGGCCGGCCCGTCGAGGTTTCGCGCCCAAAGCCCTCCTGAGCTCTTCCTGGGTCTACCCCTGCCCCGGTCTACCTCGTTCTTGCCCCCACGCGCGGGAGACAGGGCACGCGCGCCGTGGCCGCCTGGAGGAGTGCAGTTGGCGCGCAAAGCCTGCACTTTCGGTTCAGACCAGGGCCGACCCCGCCCTACCCGGCCCCTGCGCGCCAGGTCCCGGACGTGCCCCCCGCCCCCCGAGGTCTTCTAGCTCAGCCGTGGGCCGCTTCACCCCTACTTAGTTCTAGTCATTTAATTTATTTTACTTTTTAAAAATTCTTGGTCTTACTATTCAGTCGAGAGGGAGAAGGTGCCTATAGGGTGTGGCTCAGGTGAAAGAGATGACAACTCGACCAAACAAAAAGTACACTCTGAAAACACTTTGGAGACGTTAGAGGAGCTCGGAAAACACCTCTTAAAAGCGCCGAAAGGGCAAGTGTACAGCCACAGCACGGAGGGCGAGGAAATGGCGAAGGCGGCGATCCGCGGCCTCCGCGGGGGCGGCCGTGGGGGGCGGTGGGCGCTCCGAGGCCCTCATGGCCGCCTGCCTCGCTGGCCCCCCGCCTGGCCCGCGGACCCCCAGGCCTCGGCTCTCGGCCCTTTGGCTACATTTTGCCTCAGTTCCTCCTCCGCGCCGGGGCAGCCGGGGGAGGCTCCTGGGGAGCCTTGCGAGGCGGGCCCCGGCGACCCTCGCAGTCGGCCGGGCGTTCGGCGCGTCCGGCGAGCGGCTGCGGCCCTCACCGAGCGCCGGCGAGCCGCCGAGGCTTTCGAAATGCGCGGGGCCGCGGATCATTGGAGCCCGGGGCAGGGGTGGGAGCGGGCTGCTGCCTCGGAGGGTCCGCGCCCTGGAAGGTGGTCTCTCCAACGCGCCCAGGGTCCCGCGCCGCTCCGGAGGCGGCGGGGTGCCCCAGCGCAGAGTGCGGCCAGGAGGAATAGGGGGGCTTCCGCGGCTTCTTTAGCCCGGGAGGAGACGCGGTGAAGGAACAAAGTTGCTGAGACGAACTAGGCAGCCCGCCTGCGCTGGCAGAGGCGCGGCCGTCCTCAGCGGCCTGCGGGCACCCCGGGCGCGGGAACGGCGCGCGGCGGCGGGCTGCCACGGACCGACGAGGAGCGAGACCCGCTGGCCTTTTTTTTGTTCTCCCCGCCCTCCTGTTGAAGCCAGCCAGACCCCGCAACCGCGGCGCGGCGGCGGGCGAGCGCGGGGGGCTAACCCGGCGCTCCGGGGAGACGACGGCGGCGCAAGGGGCCGGGGCAGCGGGGCAGGGGGTGGCCGGCGGCCCCTTCGAGGGACGGTCGCGACGGGTTCCACGGTCCCGTCCGGAGAGGGGAAGACGATGCGAGCCGTGGAGCGGCCTCGGAGGGCTTTAGCACAGACGTGCAGGGGCGCCGGACCGATGGCTGGGGGCGGCCAGCATCCACCTCGCCCCAGCGCGGCGCGGTTAACACCCAGCCTCTCCAACTTCGCATGGCGACCCCTTGAAGAGAGGAAAAATGGGTTACAGGCAACCACTCGGTGGACATTTTCCCCCATTACTTTCTTGAAGTATCTCTCCCCCCCCCTTCAGAGGAACTTTGATTTCATTAGCTCCTACCCTCCACTCCTTCCTCTCTTTGAGTTGTTTTTCTTGCTCACACAGTCTCTTCCTGAAAAACAGAGTGAAAATGGGAGTTTAAACAGAATCACAAAAAAAAAAAAAACAGCTTAAATCTTTGATTATAATGATACCTTCTTTAAAAACTGGCCTCTCCACTCAAAGACCCATTTTCCTCTTCCACACAGACAAAGAGTCTCAATCCTGCTTAAAAAAAAAAAAAAAAATCTCAGGTCAAAAAATGCTGATACCATCTTATTTGGAGCGTCTTTTGGGGTGCTGTGATGTAAATGCAAGTGTTTGGGTAAAATAATTTCACCTCAAATCAGACTTTAATATTGTTCCTCTTTGGAGATCCTTAGAACAAATAATTTACTTTTACACTCCAGCCACATTTTTTAAGAGAGTGTAGAATTACAGGAATTCTTGTAAATCTGACTTCATACGGCTTGTCTTTTTACAAAATTTTTAAATAAATAATTTCTTCTTAAATAAAAATTTTATCTCTGCTATATTGACTCTGGAGACCCCCAAAAAAGCCCAACCTGGGATTTAGAGCAACCCAGTTTGGGATGTGTAGTTTATAAGCAGTGTACTCAGGAATTGGGAAATTTCATATTGTTACCCAGTTAAATATGAATTTATTCCTAAATCAATATAGGATACTGACCAATTTCCCCAGGGTCCATCACATAGCTGAGTATTTTGAAAGAGAGGTGGTCTGAACAATTGCTCCCCCCCAACACTGAACTTGGGCAAATAACACAATTCAGGAGTCCCCACGTTACTTTCATTTTCAATCCTGCAGTTGTGTGACCAGTCCACACTTATGTAAGAATTTTTGGTTCTGACACATCCCTCCCCCAGAAGATATATTTTAACTCAAGGGGACTTGAACAATATTATTTCTATGAAAATGTAACTTTTTTTTTTCCCCCTTTACTTTCCAGAGCTAAAGCTTCGTGCATCCACACAGGAAAATATGGAAAACACAAACTGCATTTCGTAGCCACAGGAAACATCCTTGAGTTGTGGGCCTCGATGATCTAAATGTTACCTTAGACCATGTTTGTGTAAACAGGACTCCTTAAGCTTCGTGCAGCACATTAAATCTGACTCAGTGAATAGCTATGGAAGTTTTCTTTATTGATTGCTTGATGTGTAACAATAATTGGTATCTTTTTTCACACATTACAAAAAATTATACTTGGCTCAGTATGCAACTTTTTTAAGCACAGCCATATTATTTAACAGAAGAAGGGAAAAACCTATTCTACCCAGAAGAAGCATTTACAAATGCACAAGACATGCCACTTTGGCTTGTATATTGTCTAGATTAAAAAAGAAGAAGAAGAAGAAATTTCTTTTTAACATAAATAAGTTAGTATAATTTCTCAGTGTCTTTACAGAGTTATGTACACAGGTACATTTCAAATGGTTCTGTTCCATACACATACACAGGCAATGAAGAAACACTGTTGAAAGATGTAGTATGCATTTCACTTGTTCCCCAAGTGTGCCTTCTCTCTATGCATACCTTCCTTAAGAAACCCCTCATTCCTGTTGGACAAATTAAGAAATGAGCAGGAGAAGCTTAAAATGAAAGACTATCTCTTTTTGTGTGTGTGAAGTTACAGATTTTTAAAAATTATTTTGACTGTGTCCACAAAACCCAAAGTGAAACCAAAATGTAAGAAAAATTTCTCAGCTGGTGTGACAAAAAATACATGGTCAGATTTGAGGGGGTCCAGAATTCCCCCCTGTCCACCTTAAGGTTTCTGCCTAGAATTTCCTGGAGTGATTAGCAAACAGCTGAATAATTAACTGGTAAGTTCCAACTAAGAGATACTTTAGGGGGGAGGCACTGGGATAATTTTTTGGTTGCTTTTTTTTTTAAGCCATTTGCTGCTACTTAGAAAAATCATTGGAGGGCCCAAATAAAAGTAAGCTTCCTATAAAAATAAAAAGCAACTATTTGTAGCCAGTGTCCAAATGGTAATGATTTAAAAATATGATATATCACTTTTCACTGAAAGGGACATTACATCTTTAAAGAAAACAATTCAATCTTCTCCATCCAATTGCTTCTCTTCTTGGCAAGTCAAATATTTTCTTCCTTGCTATCAACCGAAGCCAGCTCTTCATACCCACCCATGCCAATTCTGCAGCCCCACCCTGCCCTCCCCTGCCCCCAATGTTTATGTGCTACATAAAAGGTAAAAACTATATACACAGGTAGTACAATGAAGCAAATAAGGAAAAACCTAATTGCACAATGCTACATCCAATGCTTTTAGAGGCAGATCATTTAAGAGTGCCTAAACATTTTAGTGTTATGGTGTTGTTGCTGTTCAGTGCTTATACAAGATGTCCGTTCCATGGAGTCAGCCATACGTCTTTAAATCGGTCATGTACATCTTCCTTGCTCCCTCAAGCTGGGGTGTCTCGGACAAACCAGGAAACATATTCTGAAGGCTGCAAAAAGGAAAGCGAGAGGGAGGATTAGGAAGAAAAGCACTAGGGAAATGTTATGCAGAAGCCACAGGACTGACTGGCTCGCTGCGTGGATCAGGACACACCTGAGGGCCGCAGGGAAGGGAATCTGTACTGATACCCAGTGAATACAGTCGGCTCCTGCGGACACCATGCGTCCCCTGTGCGTCTCCTTTCTCGGCTACAGCAGCAGTTCCTAGCAATGGGCTGCCCCCCCGCCCCCACCCAAGGGACATTTGGCAGGATCTGGAGACATTTTCTGATTGTTACCACTGTGGGAGGGGGAATGCTACTGGCATCTGGTGGGCAGAGGCCAGGGAGGCTGCCAGACACCCTCCAAGGCTCAGGACAGCCTGCTTCAACAAAGGACTCGGCCCCGAATGTCAACAGTGCAGAGGCTGAGAGACCGTGGAGAATCTGGGTTAAAAAAAAAAAAAAACGGGCAGGGAGAGAAAAAAAAAGAAACAGGAAAATGAAGAAATGGCGACACTGGAGAGCAGCTCCATTTGCTAAAGTTGAAAGATACTTGGAAACAACAGCTCTCCAGAAGGAAAATCCCTACAAACAGCATTGTCCAAAATGCAAATACTCTTGTTTCTTATTCCTCTCTGGACTACAGTGAGTGCTAACGCCTTCCCCTAGGCCCGTACCACTATGGTTCTTGTAGCTGGCACCATTACTAACACATGGCTCCCTGTAGGGCCAGATCAAAATCCTCTAAGTCTGGGGCTTTCTCCTCCGAGGAGCTAGGTCGCAAGTCACAAGCCAGCGAGCACGGGGCGTTGTTTATGTCGCTTCAGGAAAATGTGTCACCCAATTTTTTCCATTTCGCACGGAGTTGCGCTGTCGAGGCTCTGCAGCGCAGTTCTGAAAACCTTTAGCGAAGTCAAGAAATCCTCTGTGGGACCAAGCAGCCTGAATGCCTGGTCTTGAACTGACTCTGAAGTGTTTACAAGTGAAGTTTTTAAAAGACAATATGAACGGGAGGAATCTGCGTCGGCTACACTTACACTGTGCTGGGGGGGGTGCGTCTCAGAACTTGTGGATAGAAAGTTGCGATCAATCCCTGGGAAGGGAAAGCTGTCCAGGTAAAGTCAGGGCTGAATGATTCAAATTAGCCATCCACAGAGACACATTTACTCTATGAAAAACACCAGGCTTTTCCTGGACTGGCGAGCCTACTCTACGCGACAACTACCACCCACTTCCCCCACACATATCCCAATCACGCTGCCCTGGTGTGATTAGCATACACAAGCTGACACGTTCCTGGACTGCTTATTCTGCCGGAGGGAAGCGTACTTCTGCTTTGCAGCTCCAGGACGAGTGGCAATGCCGTAGGAACTTGGGTATTTCTGAGCTTTCCAACTTCAGGGTTTTGTCTTTGTTTGTTTTTAAGATGTAGGTTCCCGTGTTTTCCCCAAAAGGCATCAGTAAAAAGGGAAAGTGACAGTTTATGAAAACTGATCAAGTTAAAGCACACATCCTCTCACCTCCCTATTCACATGTCTAAGCCAAGGTGAGCTGGCTGCACCTCACTTTTCCTTCGTGCTTGCTATTTAATTGCGCATGGGCCAATTTTCAAATTCTGGAGAAGGGGGACTGAGGAGCACCTCCAGGTCTGGTGCAGATGGAGTAGGGAGTAGAGGACCGGGAGTGAGGGGCAGGAAGGGGGGACCTATTGTTCCCAGCCTGTGTGGAGTGGGACTCACCGGGGAAAGGGGCCTTGGTTACACACAGGCACTCGCTCTAGGCAGTTAGTGTTTCAAGGAGAGCTAGAAACTTCGAAGGATTACAGTATTCCATATTGACTTCCAGCCTGCCCCACGGCTACCCTTTTGACTTCTCAAACTAGGAACACCCCGCAAACCCTACCGAGCTCCTTATCTGCCAGCAGCCCGTCAGCTGGGGTGTAAAGGTATTCTGGGTTCAGGCAGCCCAGCTGGGGTGTCCGGGTTGGACTTTTTTTTTCCACACCCCCCCCCCCGGTTGGGGTGGAGCACGGGGTGTGGAAGGGGGGTGTCCCTTCCTGATCAACCCACCGAGTTGTTTACGTCTGACGTCTTCTGAGGCCCGGCTTCTTGGGCGTCTGCTCTACCGAACCGGAGTTCGGGGAACCGTCTGAAACATTTTCTTCTGTTCTGTTGGCTCTTTTGTTTTGAGGGGTAGTATCTGCAAGGCAAAGAGCGAGAGTGTTAAAAGAACAGACGCACACACACTCGCACACATACAGTCGTTATGAGGACAAACAATGGCTGGCGCAAGCTGGTCCCCGTGGCCAGCGGATGAAAACCCCATCGCCTACGCCCAAGACCCTGGAAGGGGCAGCGTCCAGTCAGGTGGTCTGCGGCTCCCTCTCCCCGGTGCCCGTGGGGGGAGTAAGGGGAGGGAAGGAGGAAAAAGTTGGCGAGGCGTGGGGGGGGGGTCCCTCTGGGAAACATTACAATTTTGTTGCCCACCTAGAAAAAGAACGGCGCTTTTTTTTTTTGTGGGCAGAAACAGGGGATAAAAATGATCACATCTTACAACCTCCCGCTTTTGACTCGTGAAGACTAACACCCTCCCAGGTACCATAAATAAATAAATAAATAAGCAGTCCGCGGGGTTCGTAATCAAGTTGCTACCCCTCCCCCCATCTGAATACGCTGAAGCTGAGTCTAGTAAGGCAGAGCCGGAGCACGCACGCGAGCAAGGAGGGATACACAGACTCGGGGGCTCGGGGTGGGGGTAGGGGGCCATCATTACCATCCGTAGCAGGTCGCTTCCTCATCCCGACGCACTGCTCGGCCAAGGCTGTAGGGCCGTCCGACTGCTCTGTCTTTGGATCTCCCAGGTGCGTGTCCTCGGAGTTGGCCTGGGACCCCGCACCCGGCGCGGCGGGACGCGTTCCGCTGAGGTCTTGGATCTCCAGCGCCGGCACCTTGCAGGCGCCTTTGGGCGGCCGAGGAGGTCTGTAGTAGAACTCGGGCAAGCTGCCCTTCTCCACCTCCTGCCACTCGTACTTGCCCTCCAGGGGCTTGTGATTCTGGAAGTCGAAATTCCACTTGCGCTGGCTCGCCTCCTCCATGTCTCGGCAGTGCTTTTCCAGGTCCCGGCTCAGCTCTTCGTGATTCACCGGACCGAAGAGGTTTCTGCAGGCGGACGGCTTGGGGTGCTCCGCCTGCCTGGCGTCTGTGCGCTCCAGGACTGGGCTCCCGTTGGACACTCTCACGTTAGACATCTTGAACCCCCTGGGCCCGGTCTGGACCCCCACCGCCTCTCCTCTAGCGCGGGCTCTCCGCAAAACAAAACCGAACGCAGCCGGACGCTCAGACGCAGCCGAGCCCGGCGCGCGTACTACAGCGCTAGGAGCCAAGAGAGACCGACCGAGGCGAGTGGCCGCCGCACTAAGGGGGCGCGCAGGGTGCGGGAGCAGAGCGGGGAAGCCCCGGACGCACAGCCGAAGCCGCCGCCGCCGCCTCCGCCGATCAAGTGTGCGGGCGCGCGAGAGGGCGGGGAGGGGAGGGGAGGAGCGGGAGGGCTGGCCCGTCCGAATCCCAGCCGGAGCGAGCCCGCGGGTGTCTGCTCCCTGAGCCTTGCGCCGTCCAAGCCGCGCCGCGCGCAGAGAAAGTGGAGAGAGGAGAGGGGGCGGAAAACACCCCGAAAAGACGAGCCCCCTTTTTTAGTGGCCCAATATGGCGGTGGAAGGGAGGCTGACGAAGAAGAAGATGATTGACACGGCGAGTCTATTTAAACAGAGGAGGAGATCCATTGGTCGCGGCGCCGGGAGCCGCCCCACCGAGGCTGGCGAGCGCGGCCTTAAGGTGGCCCTGGCGCGGGGCGAGCGCCCGCCCGCGTCCCCGCGCGCCGCCTGCAGAGGGGGGTGTGGAGGAAGGGGGTGCGCGCGATCGACGGGGCCGCGCGGCTGCCAGCAAACCTGCTGCGCTGGCCTCGGGGAAATTAAAAAGGCAACCGGCCGCCTAGAGCCGAACGGCCGGCCGGCCACGGCGCTAGGGAGGGGCCGGGCGGCGGGCCCGGGCGGGGTCTGGGACACGCAACCGCCCCGGGCGTCGACCGACCGCCGGGCTCCCCACCCGGGCCACCTCGGGCCTAGAGGGTCGCTCGCCCCTCTTTCTGAGCTTCGCTGCCCAGCTGGTTCTGTCTGTGCCCACCGAGCCGGGGGATGAGAGATGGGGGTGGGGAGTAAGTGAGGGGGAGCCCTGCCCTTCCCCGCCCCCACCTCACCCCACCCCAGTCCTGCTCCGCTCTTCCCCAGGAGCCCCCTCCGCGCAGGCGAGCTCCCTGCCTGCCCGGTTGCTTCCTCCAGGGCTGCAGAGGGTGGGACAGTGGTCAGATAAATCGGTCATGACGAAGGTTCCTGATGTGCTAGAACAGGCGGGAAGAGGGGATGGGCGGGGGGGAAGCTCAGGGAAGGGGCCGCTGGGGCAGACGACTTTTCCATAAAGTAGCCGGAAGTGGACGGCAGCATTTAGAATGCTTTTGGCACCCAAGCTCTCCCTCAATAAAAATAAGACCTCGAGCTCAGAAACTCGCTTCGGCCGCTCGATACTTTGTAGCCGACTCCAACGCCTTTCTTTACAACGTGGCTCCGGCCTTGCTTCTCCAGCCCAGGTGAGGCCACCTACACTGGCCATGAGCTCTTCACAGTGCTACCAGGACCCAGCAGCCCCTTCCTTCTCCCACGGGAGTGATTGCTTCATTGTATTTGGATGAAAGCTGAAGTCTCCGAGCGGAGGACATTCAGCTGCGAGCTTTTAGATAGCTATCGTGCTGTGGAAGGGTGGAAAATACTCCCTTCGGGGGTCCAAGTTCAGATTAGGAAGTGGCTTAGAAAACCCATACAGAGCTGCTCTAACACCTGATGCCATTTGGGCATTTCTATGCTCTCCGTTGCAACTTGAAGTTTACCTGTCACTTTGACCTTCTGCAAGTGGTAGAAGTTCAAATAGGAGGGGATGGGACTGTCCTGTTTTCCGAAACAGGGCTAAGCGGGTCTTCCGTTGCCTGTTCACACCACTCCCAACATGTAGTGTCTTGACATGGGTCAAACTTAGTAAGCCATATTGGAAACCGGGCCGGTGTTCCGGTGGCACATCAGCGCCGTTTTCTTCTTCATGCACCTGTGCTTTAGGCAAGTCCAGATGCCTCCACGTGTGTTCTTAGCCGCATCTTGTTTGTCCACCTGGCTAGCCTGCCTCACTTCATGCATGTCAGGAAGCGGCAGCTGGAGGGGTCATAGAGACCCTGCGGTTTGACACTCCCTTGTTACCACTGAGGACGCTGAGACCTTGAGAGTTTTGCTGGCCTGGGGGTGCATCCAGCTGGAAGCACAGGTGGCCGGAGAAGGCAGTCTCCCTCTTCTACCCCACTCCTCCCTGCCCCCACTCCCATCCTCTGCTCCATTTCTTGCCACACTTGGCTCGTGCTGCAGTCTCGAGGGGGTCGAGGGGGTCGCTTCCCTAGTAAGTTATTCAAAATGGCTCCTTCTCCAACTGTGGGCTGCTGGCAGGTGCCTACTTGATGTCTCTGTGGTCACTGGCCATTTAGACTCAGCTCTCAGTGGCCTCTGCTGTATCGCTATCCGCTCCTTCAGCTAAAATCCAGATTCCAAAAGGATGGGGCACGAGGTGCGGATGATGTGTAGAGAACTCAAAGCTGATATAAAAGTTGGGACTTCCCATCTCGCTGCCAGATAAAGGCTTTTAGCTGGAGACCCATACACCCATCCAGTGTAATTTTCTTTTTCTTTTTCTTTTCTTTTCTTTTCTTTTCTTTTCTTTTCTTTTCTTTCTTTCTTTTTTTTTTTTTTTTTTTTTTTACATTTAAAGCCCCTACTTAATTTCTTTGAATGAGGCCTGGAGGAAAAGCAGCAGGAAAATTAGCGGAAAAAAAAGTTTCACTGTCATAAATCTATACTTGACCTCTGAAATTGATACTTGTCCAGATTTTTAAAAATAATTGCTGGCGGGGGGAGGGGAGACCTATGGTTAAAGCCCGACTTGGAATGCCCACGTACCATGTCAGAGGGCATGGGCTTCAGTCTCCCAGCTCTGCTGATTCCAGCTTCTTGTTGCAGCACACGCAGTGAGGCAGGGAATAGGGTCCCTGGCACCGCCGTGGGAGACCTGGATTGAGTTTACAGCCCCAGGGGTTGCATGCTTTTGGGGAGTGACAAAGAAGACAGATCTCTGCCTGTCTTTCAAATAAAATAAGCAAAGTTTTTACAAATTCTTGTTTACACAGCTTCACAAAAAATATTTGCCAGGAGTACACAGGAACTTCATTATAATTTGTAGATACTACAGATAAACAAATTCACTAGCTTCTGCAGAGATGAGTATGTAAATAAAGACATTCTGCAGTATTTAAACCTGCCACGCAAGTGTGGTTTTATTCATGGAATGTGAGTAGGATATGAAGGCAAAAAACGAATGCTGCTGTCTCTGCCCGCGGTTCTCTGGATCTTTCATGAACAAGGAGCTACACCATTTTGTTGCTTTGTTCATCTTAAAAAGTCGAGTCCAGGTCACGCCACCTTAAGAAGGCTGGCAGCTGGCCGTGGGGCAGCGCCTACGCCGACCTCCTCGCTACAGTCTAAAGTGTTTTGTTGACAGTCAAGGCACCCAGCTCTTGCAGGGCAAATAAAAAGAAGTCAGGCGTCATCTCGTAGTAGCGACAGAGCAAGGAAAACACACTCCGGAGTGCGCCCGCCAGTCGGGAGGAAAGGCGGCGGCGAGCCAAGCGCCCTCCTCTCTCACAGCGAGAAGGCGCTTGCCGGAGACAGCGAGGAGAGACCCGCAGACTGGGTTTGCAGGCCCTGTGTGTTCTTTCTCCTGTCACGTTCACCCCTGCCAGGTTCCTCACTTACAGCTGAGACGTGTCACGGAAACCTCCCCACCCCCGCCCCACTCCCCTCCATCTCTGTGTCTCACCAACTAAGGAAAGAGGCAAAGATAAAAATAACTGAAAAAGAAAACACCTGTGTGGCAGAATGAGGCGGCTGGGCAAGCACCTGTGTCCGACAGACCCCCCCCCCCGCCGTGGTCCTGTCCGACAGACCCCCCCCCAGCCGTGGTCCTGTCCGACAGACCCCCCCAGCCGTGGTCCTGTCCGACAGACACCCCCCCCAGCCGTGGTCCTGTCCGACAGACACCCCCAGCCGTGGTCCTGTCCGACAGACCCCCCCCCCAGCCGTGGTCCTGTCCGACAGACCCCCCCAGCCGTGGTCCTGTCCGACAGACCCCCCCAGCCGTGGTCCTGTCCGACAGACCCCCCCAGCCGTGGTCCTGTCCGACAGACCCCCCAGCCGTGGTCCTGTCCGACAGACCCCCCCAGCCGTGGTCCTGTCCGACAGACCCCCCCAGCCGTGGTCCTGTCCAGGGGAAGTTGCGCGGCACATTGCGGGGTGGGAGGGGGGAGGTGTTCTGCCAAGGTTCCACGTGCCCCTCCCAAGCGCACACGGCTTTGAGGATGTTTACAATGCAATAGTTTTTGCTCACCTTTGTCATTCCGCTACACGGACAGGAATATATGAATCTAGCAATTTTATAGCCATCCATTTCTGACTCTTTGAATTTCAGTTCGCAGAAATTTGCTGGGCGCCTTCTATTAATTTTTAAAAAGATGTTTCTTTCTTTCAAAGGGAGAATTAGGAAGAGGGGGAATCTCCCATGCTCTGGTTGACTCCCCAAATGGCCAAAAAGGCCAGAGCTGGGCAAATTTTGAAGCCAGCGGTGAGGAGTTTCCTCCGGGTCGTCTACGTGGCAGGGTTCCCAGGTGCGTTAGCGGGGAACGGTGTCAGAATTGAACAGCAGCCGGTAGTCACTGGGACCAGCGTCCACTTGGGATCACGTGCTCTGGAAGACGGTTACGTGACTCACGGTGCCACAGCCCAGGCCCCCCAGAAGTGCTCAAATTTAAAATAGAAAGAAAGGGCGGGCCCAGCATGGGAGTCTAGCGGTTAAGGTACTCGCCTTGCACGCGCCGCGCCGCGGGATGCTATATGGACACAGGTTCTAATCCTAGCGGCACCGCTTAGCTCCGGCCGGCCGTTGCGGTCGCTTGGACAGTGAAATCAGATCTTCCTCTCTGTCTCTCTTCTCTGTATATCTGACTTATCAATAAAAATAGAATAAATTGGGCCCGGTGCCGTGGCCTAGCGGCTAAACTCCTCGCCTTGAACGCGCTGGGATCCCATATGGGCGCCGGTTCTAATCCCAGCAGCTCCACTTCCCACTCGGCTCCCTGCTTGTGGTCTGGGAAAGCAGTGGAAACCCGCACCCGCGTGGGAGACCCGGAAGGAAGTTCCAGGTTCCTGGCTTCGGATCGGCACAGTACTGGCCGTTGTGGTCACTTGGGGAGTGAATCATCGTATGGAAGATTTTCCTCTCTGTCTCTCCTCCTCTCTGTATATCTGACTTTGTAATAAATAAAGCTTTTTTAAAAAAAAAAAGAACAAATCTTAAATAAAATAAAGTAGAAAGAAGCTTTTGGCATAGTGAGTTAAATAACACCATGCAAGGCAGACGTCCCTAACGTGCTCTGGTTCCAGTCCCAGCTATTCCACTTCAGATCCAGCTCCCTGCTGTTGTGTCTGGGAAAGCAGGGAAGGACAACCCTAAATCCCTGGGTCCCTGCGCTCACGCAGCAGACCTAGAAGAAGATTCTGGCTCCTTGCGTTGGCCCTTGTGGCCATCTAGAAAGTGAACCAGCCAAGAGAAGACTTC